AATGGCAGGGCCTCTGGGTGGATAGGTGGTGTGACGTAGTGCTGGTCTGGATTGAGAGGGCATCCCAAGGAGGTCACACTCTACAACCCTTTTTATAGGGGTAGAATACCTGTGTCTTCTATGGGAAGGACATGCCCAGGCAAGGGCCAGTCCTGTTCAGAAGAGGTCATGCAGTTCCAGGTGCCCTCATTGTCCGATGGGATACAACAGGGAAGTTTCTGGGTTCTGTTCTGTTCTTTGTTTCCATGTTGCTGGTTTCTTGGAGGGTCTTTATCTTTCAAATATTGGGTTTTGTCTCTGGTCCTGGGAGTAGGCCTGTGGTTTCAGGGAGAGTCAATGCAAGGCAGTGGTCCGGTTCTTAAGTTGATGACCCAGTCATTCAGCAGGAGCTATTTTTAGGCCTGCTACCATTATGTCTCAAGCACCCTCATTCACTGTCATTCATCCAGGAACCAATTTCCATAGGAGGGGTAGGTATGAGTCATAGTTACAACAAAATTACAATAGGGTATGCCTGGGCAGGGGACACAAAATGGGGACTTGACATTACTTTGGCTAACTTTACAGAACAGACCTAAATCAAACAATATCAATACAAAACAGTAAAATTCAGTACAAACATAATAGGGATACAATATAAAACAGTAAAACTCAATACAAAAATAACAGAACACTATTTACAATAAAATAGGGTCTTGTTATAATAATGGCACACAAGAACTTAGCTTACCTATGACTAAATATAACTACATATAAGGGATAGAGAGGGCAGAGAAAGAGTCAGAAATGGTTGGGGAAAGGGAAGGAATGTATTGTTAAGTAAAAAAAAAAGAAAAAAAGGAAACCCTGGGGGTTTTGCTACAACATCAGAAACTACCAGGGTAAAGTCCCTTGAATACAAACTCTACAATTCTAGGATGTAACATTGTTTCTTTCAGTCTCCTCATTAAAAGGAGACTTTAATGACTCCTCTTCTAATTTATTATGGCTAATGAATCTCTAAACTAATGAAATAAATAAGTTAGCTCCATCAGAAGATATGCGTACGTCTTCATGGTGAAGGAAATTTAGTCAGGCTTTGGCATCTCTGACTAGAAAATAAGCAGACAGAGACCAGAAGTGCTAACACTGCTTATTTCAGTTATATGTTTTGAGATTAAAAAAAAATAATTCTGCATTATTACTCTGTGCACAGAAGTAAGTTTGTTTTAGTTTTTTCAAGGTTGTATTTTTTTCTCTTGATCTGTCTTAAGTATAAAAATGCTTAGAAACTGAAGGAGGGGGAGGATTCCTTTGAACAGACAAGTGAGTGATTCCCTTGCTGTGTGGAGTTCTCCCTGTGATCACAGTACAGCCCTCAATAAAGAAAAGCTGGCTCTGTCCGTTCTGATTCAACCACAACACAAAGTTTGATTTCTTCCACAATGGCTTGTATGTTTATTGAACTGAGATCTTGCTATTCAGTCCTGTGTGTAAGTGGTAACCAATAAGGGTGGTCAGATCATATGAAGTAATATTATGATAAAATAGGCCTAGTGGTTTTCTGCAACAAGATTGAATTTGGATCTCCTAACTCTTAGGGTCCAGATATCGAAATAAGCTAGGATATGAACATACAGAATATCGACAATTCTAACAAAGCCACCTGTGTGTATGCACTTACTCCATGGTAAATTCAAGGACCCCACTTTCACTGAGTGCTCAGCTACTTTGCACCTACTGTATTATAAAAGCTTTCCGTTGCTGTGGGACACTGTAAAACAAGAGTGGCCAATCTACAGCCTGAGTGACACAAGTGGCACAGGCAGCTTCTGTGTGGCATGTGACAGATGAGGAGGAGGAAGGCAGCCCAGCAACAGATAGCTCAGAGAACAGAAGGCAGAACAGCTGATCATGAAAGAAACACAAGGTAGGGAGTACAAAGCAGAGGAGAAGATCAGGCAAGGAATGGGGATTAGAACAGCATTTGGGGAGGGCACGGGGCTTAATTTATGAAACGTCTGCCTAAAATGTTGGCCCCCATTGCTGCAAGTTCACAGTTGGCTTACCTTGTGGTAACTTGTTCATGTGCTAAAATCTCCTAGCATTAAGCCATAAGTAAATTCTCTAGATAGGCTACTACTTCTGTGTGACAAGGACAAAGAAATATAGTATCTGCAAGAAAAATTGTGTTATCGGATAAGTCCACTACCTTGGATTTCTCTTGGTCAAGGCAACATCCTATGACTCTGATGTTCTGCCACTGTATTCATTAAATTCTGTATTAATTTCCTCTTTCAGCACAATACGCACCTCTGGGATACATGGCAAAGAGGAATACAGCTACTGTGACTGAGTTCATTTTGCTGGGATTCACAGACAATCCAAAGCTTCAGATCTTCCTCTTTATGGTCTTTTTCTTCATCTACCTGATAATCCTACTGGGAAACCTTGGGTTGATTGCGTTAATCAAAACTGACTCCCAGCTTCACACCCCTATGTATTTTTTCATCAGCAACTTGGCCCTCTTAGATATTGGAAACTTCACCATCATTGCTCCCAGGACCCTGATGACCTTCATCACAGAGAGCAAAGTCATCTCTTTCACTGGGTGTGCTGCACAGTTCTTTTCCTTTTGCATTGCTGTATCCTGTGAATGCTGCCTGTTGGGGGTGATGGCATATGATCGATTCCCAGCCATCTGCAGTCCATTGCTCTACACTGTCATTATGTCCAAGCAGTTCTGCATCTTTCTCGTGCTGGGCTCTTACTTCACAGGATGGGTGAATGCAACAGTCCAGACTATTCTTATATTTCGGCTGTCCTTCTGCAATTCCAATATCATCAACCATTTCTCCTGTGATGTGCCCCCAATCTTGAAGCTCTCCTGTTCTGATACCCACATCACTGACATGATTCATTTCACATTTTCAACTGCAATAGGAATAATTACCATCCCGAGCATTCTCATCTCTTATATATATATCTTAGTTGCTATCTTAAGAATCAACTCTGCTGATGGCAGGCGTAAAGCCTTCTCTACCTGTGCTTCCCACTTGACAGCTGTCACTGTTTTCTATGGGACAGGCACTTTCATGTACTTTTGGCCCAGTTCAAAGTACTCCGTGGACCAGGACAAAATCATCTCTGTGTTTTACACTCTTGCAATTCCAATGCTGAACCCTCTGATCTATAGCCTGAGGAATAAGCAAGGAAAAGAGGCCTTCAGGAGGATGATAGACAAGAAGTTGTCTTTTGTTGAATGAGAATGTCACAAATAGTTTCTCACTAATTAATAGGATCAAGACAGAGGAGTGAGAGATAACTTTGATATTCAGGGCCTTCATCTATATGAGCAGCAGACTGCACAGTTGTTACTGTGCAGTCATTTAGGACTTGCATAACCAAGTACTAAATTACTGTGTAGAAACTGGAGTTATTGTGCAGTATCATCCCCACATGTTGTTTTTTTTTCCTGATATTACTGTGCAGTAGCAACTCATGTAGACATGGCCAGGGACAATCAAATGTGAATAGCTTTCATCAAGAGGATACAACAGAGATGGGTATACAGAGTATCATCTAGCACCATGCCATGGTTTCATTGAATCCTGAGGGTCCAGAGGCACCCGTTAGGGACTTCTTATTACTACCAAACCCTGGCCCACTGGCTCGGTAGAACTTTTGATCTAGTTACCAACGACCATTTCTGATAGGCTGCTTGCTGGTGTTGGTTAAAAGGTTTGTAAGTACTTTTTCTCAGCTACATTCCTCTTGAAAATTAAAGTAAAAAGTGAAATAAGATGTTTTCCTTTTGCCATGTTAGAAAAGACTTCCCTTCCCCTTTGCATATTCCCAGGAAATTCTGCAGGCCAACCTTGATGATTTACGTGAATGGGGGTTAACAGTTTTTATATACGTGCTACACAATGAGTGCATCTACATGAGTCATGCTAATGCACCTTAGTCTAGTTTACTGTGCAGTAAGGACTTGTTTTTACACATGCATGCCCTACTTCACAGTAAAAATGGCTAGTCATGACTAATTTTGATACAAGTGCAGGTTTTAAGTTTAGTTGTGATTATTGAATGTGCAGTAACATACATGTAGATGTGATATTGCATTAAGTTTAGAGCCAGATCTGCCCTGCACTAGGGGGCTGGCATGAGCCCAGCTCCAGGGCTCCTGGCTGGGAGCCTTTCCTGATCTAGGGCTGGGCTGCTCTCTGGCAGCCCCTAGCTGCGGGGTATAAAAGCCATTTCCGGGTCTGCCGGGAAGCATGCTGCCTCCCCCCCACCGCGTCACTCTGGCTCAGCGACTGGTGCATCCTTGGTCTGGGGGGAAACCTGGGGTCCCCCTGCAGTTGACCACTGCGGGGTGGCAGTGCACTCCCCAGTGGACCCAAAAGTGGACCAGAAGGACTTCATGCCCACTTTTGGCTTCACTGCTGAACATGTGTGTGTGGGGGGGGTCTGTGCTCCTGTGGGATGCTTCATGCACCCCATTATTGCAGTACTCACAAGCTGTGCTGGTACCTTGAGGTATGTAGAGAACACATTTCAAGCTGTGTTTGTGTCCAAATCGCTGATCCCTGAATCAGTATCAAATCTTCAGATTCAGATTCAGCCTAATCAAATCAGGGACAGTGATCTGAAATAAAAAATTGAATCACTCCCCAATTTGGGCCGAATATGAATCTGAATTGAATAGGGCCATCTTTACACACCCCTAATATTTATATTTCACTTGTTCTTCTGTGATTCCGAGATCATCAATCACTTCTTCTGTGATGTGCCTCCCATCCTGAAGCTATCCTGTTCTGCAACACATCATGGACGTTATTCATTTCACTTGTGCTACTGTGATTGTCACGTCTTCTATCCTGATCATCCTCATCTCTTACATATAAATTATGTCTGCTATTCTAAGGAACAATTCCACAGAGAGAAGGAGCAAAGCCTTCTCTACCTGTGCTTCCCATCTTTTGTCTGTTACCATTCTCTATGGAACAGGCTCTTTCATGTATTTACAGCTCAATTCAAAGAACTCTATGGGTCAAGACAAAATAATGTCTTTTTTTTATACCCTGGGTATCTCCATGCTGAACCCTTTGATCTACAGTCTGAGGAATAAAGAAGTAAAAGAGGCATGTAAGTGGATGATAGGCAAGAAGGTGCCAGTGAATGTAAATCTTGAGAACGTTTTCCTATTAATAAATGGAAGAGTTCTTAATTAATGAATTTCCACTTCATTTTCTTGATTTCTGAGAATAATCTAAATTGGGTCTTTTGTAGCAAAAAGATGGAAAGGATGACACTTTCCCTTCTTGGGTGTCTCAGCACATGGCCAGATTTTTCAAAATGCTCAACTCCCACATAAACACCCCAAACATTAACTATTTTTGAATTCCTGGTCTCAGTGAGACCAGCTTGAAATTAAGCACTATAACTCATTTGATTAAGTGAGAGATAAACACTTCCTAGCATCTGCCTCCAATCATGTGTAGCCTTTGGAAAATCTCCATGTACATATAAGGGTCTTACTTTAAATAACTATTGATTTAGGGCAGGACTGGGCAAAATTGTGGATCTGGCCAGTGGCCAGATTTCATTTCCCAGCAGCCCCTGCCAACTTTTCTGTGACCAGTTTCCATGGAGACCCCAGAAGCAGTAGGGCCATGACACTGCGAGGCCAGGGTTTCCATGGACAGCAGCCTGAGCAGACCTGGCAGGGTATGTGGCTGAAAGAAGGGCTGCTCTGGGGCCAGGGCTAGGATCTTGTGATTGTGACAGCATGGGCCAGAGCCAGGGCAGAGCTGCAATCCACTGCCCCCATGCCCCAGGCATGGACATGCACACAGTAGGTGGTGGCTTTGCCCGAGATCTGGACTACACTGTCACAGCCACAAAATCCTGGCCCTTTCCTCAACCACGGAGCATCACCTTGCCTTGCCCCACACCCTGCCAGAGCTACTCAGACAGATGTCCATGGAAACCCTGGGCCCATGATGTCACAGCCCCTTCACTCCTGGGTGTGAGATGGGCAAGGGCTGCTGGGAAATTGAGTCTACTTCAGGCTCAATTGGGCCTGTGAGCCAGCCCATTCCTAGTGCTGGGGAGGGAAACTCAGCTCAGATGGGCTGAGTTGCCCTCCCTAGCCTGATGGATTGCAGCACTGGGGAGGGGAACTGAGGATTACTGTCTGCCTACCCATGAGCCAAGCAGTGTTACAGGTGGATGACATGCAGCAACAGCAGCACATGGCTGGGGGTAAAAAGGAAGCTATGGAGACTCTTGTGAGCCACAAAACTCTGACAAGACACCCTTCAAGGTGCTGTGCTCCCATTCAAATATCAATTGGCACTGCTTTCCTCTGTTTGGCCATCAACACTGCCTCCAGCTTCTTTCTGATGATGACATTTCAATCATGCTTAGTCTTTTTATATATGGCCCAATTTTTTTTACAGAATTTATGGACAGGTGTTTTTAGGCTTGGTTTTTACAGTGTCTGTAAATTTACAGAGAGTAGGCAATCTTGCACTGTTGATGCAAGGCCTCTGCTGCCTGTTGGTGTTAAGGCACCCCATCCTATCACAGAAGGTCTTGTTGTTCTCGTGACCCCTCTAAAGCCTGCAGCCCCGCTAACGTGACACCCCCTTTGTAGGCTTTGACATAAGAGGTTTTGGTTTAGATAAACTATTAATTTATCAATTCATAATGAACAGTTTTAATTCCATTCATTTGGAACCAGATTCATCTTTTAATTCAAGTCAGTTAAAACATTCAACTCATGACAAACTGACCATACATTTGTTCTGCCTAAAATGAGGCAGTGCCTTGTCTCTTACAACCTGTCGTTCTGTCATCCTTTCCCTATTACTTCCTTCTGAGCTAGGATACTGCCCTGGACTACTAGGGCTGTGAAAATCTTCAGGTGGTGATTCGATTTGGAGGAGATTCAGCCTGATTCAGTGGCCAAATCTATGAATCCAAATCAAATCAGGGACCAGTTAAAAGGTCTGAATTGATTCAAAGCTCTCCAGATCTTCAGAAAAGATTCAGAGAGCTTTGGTAATTTGGACAGTCCCCAATGCAATTCAACAAAAAATAAATGTAAGGTACTCCACCTCAGGACAAGGAATCTCCAGAACACCTGCAGGTTGGGGGTGACTAAGACTTCTTTAGAAGCTCAGCGGCTGAGTGGGATCTTGGAGTCATAGCTGACTCCAAGATGAACATGAGCTGGCAGTGTAACAAAGCCATCAACAAGGCAAATCACACCTTGTCGTGCATTAGCAGATGCATGACCAACAGATTAAACAAGGTGATGCTCCCTGTCTATGCAGCATTGGTCAGGCCACAGTTGGAGTACTGTTCCCAGTTTTGGGTGCCACACTTCAAGAGGGACACAGAGAATCTGGAGAGGGTTCAAAGGAGGGCTCCTCACATAATTAGTGGCCTCCAGAAAGACCCCATGAGGGGAGGTTGAGAGGTCTGGATCTCTTCAGCCTTCACAAGAGATGTCTGAGGGGAACCTTGTAGTTGCCTATAAGTTTATCAAGGGAGGAGAACAGGGAATTGGAGATGCGCTATTTACAAGAGCACCTCTAGGAGTAACTAGGAACAATGGGTGGAAACTAGTGGACAGTAGATTCAAGTTAGACTTTCGGAAGAAAATTTTTACAGTACAGGTGGCCAGAATCTGGAATGGGTTTCCAAGAGAGGTGGTACTATCACTGAACTTGGAGATCATCAAGAGGAAGCTTGATAGACACCTGTCTGGGGTCATCTGAACTCAGTCCTCTTTCCTGCTAGGGGCACGGGGTTGGACAGAATGATTCTTTGTGGTCCCTTCTGACTCTACAATCTATGAAACTTTGAATCAGTGGCTCCAGCAGGGAGCCTCAGCTGACTCCGAGCTGGTAAGTACTAAGCGGGGGTGGGGGCTTGGGGAACGGGGAGAGTACCACAGGGGAACCCCTGCTAGCTCCCCCAACATCTGCCTGCTCTCTCAGCCTTCCCATGGCTGCTGGGTGGGGGCAGTGATCCCTGCTTCTCCCCACTGCCCCATGCTGCTCCTGCAGAGCCCCCCACATGGCACAAGGCAACAGGGGGCAGTGGGGACCACTCCCCGCTGGCGGGACCGGTAAGTTCCTGGGGTTTTTTTGTTTCTTTGTTTTTTTTTCTTAAAGGGCTGGAGCTGGCCAAAACAGGGCAGCCATGTGGGGGCTGGGGAGTGAGGGGGGAGTGAGGGGGTTTGTGCAGA